AAAAATTATATTTTAATGTGATAGTGATTATAAGTGATTTGTGACTATAATGAGGTTTTTTTATTATATTTTAAGTTCATCACACAAAATTGGGTGCTTAAATAGAGGTGTGACTATATGGGGTGTGATTTTAGAGAGGTCTGACTGTAGGCTTCAATGAAATGTGGTGTCTTTGAAGTAATTGTATTGATTAAAACAGGATATAATTAGCCAATAAACGAAACAATTTTATTATATAAGTAATAATAAAAATAAAAACTTGCCTCAAAAAAAAAAAATAATACAATAAAACCTTAACTGTTAATGTTAATGCTAATTCAAAAATGAAAAAAATCTTATTATGATGCAACTGTTATTGATGATTATTAATTTCAAATTTTATTGAAGCTGCTGATCAATAAAATTATAACAACTATTGAACAATATCTGCCAGACATTGTTCAATATCCAAGCATTTGATTGGTCGATCTATTTTAAGCTAATAAAATTACGGCAGACATTGGACAACATCCACCAGATATTTTCTAATGTCTGAGCATTTGATTAATTATTCTACTTTGAGCTAATAAAATTATGGTGAATATTGAACAATGTTCTTCAGACATTGTTCAATGTTCAAGCATTTGATTGGTAATCTATTTTGAGCTAATAAAATTATGGCAAACATTGAACAATATCCACTAGACATTGTCTAATGTTTAAGCATTTGATTAGTTATTTTACTTTGAGCTAATAAAATTATGGTGGACATTGTCTAATGTCCAAGCATTTAATTGATTATTCTATTTTGAGCTAATAAAATTATGGTGAATATTGGACTACATCTGCTAGATATTGTTCAATGGGTTACCTATCAGAATTCTGATATTTAAAATCCCAACATTCAAAATCCCAACAACAAAATCCCAAAATACAAAATCTCAACAAATTAAAATCCCAACAGTATCAAAATTCCAACATTTAAAATCCCAATATTTAAAATCCCAACACAATCAAAATCCTGACACAATCAAAATCCTGACACAATCAAAATTCTGACACAATTAAAATTCTGACACAATTAAAATCCTGATATAATCAAAACCCTAACATGATCAAAATCCTGACACTGATGCTAGCAAAATCCCAACACGATCAAATTTCCGGCATGATTAAATTTCCAGTATAATCAAAATCCTAACACCATCAGAATCCCAAACTATCAGAATCCTGACACTATCAGAATTCTGATACTATCAAAATTCTAACACCATCAGAATCCTGATACCATCAGAATCCTGACACCATCAGAATCCCAACACTATCAGAATCCTGACATCATCCTATAGGATAACTTTTGCACTATAATTAGCAACAAGTATGGGTGGGCAAAGTAATTTTGTAAGTAATAATGACCTATGACTTATCACTTTACTTAATATTAAGTAATATTAAGTAAGAATATATAATAATTTCACCTATCTCTAACAACAAGATATCATGATCTTACCTCAAATTCATCTCCCCACATGTCCATAAGTCCGGGTGCCTCTGCTAGATCGAAAAAACTCCAAACACCATCAGATTCGACCTGTTTTATAAATCCAAAGTGCATAAGATACTATTCGAATATTATTTCTTAAGAATTCCCATAAGAAACCACCTTTTATACACTAACAAAAAAAATACCTTGAGTAATTTTACTACATATACCACCCCTAATTTTCAACATTACTTAACCATTAGTTCCCAAAATGTAAGATCCAGATGCTGAATGTTTAAGCCAATGCCAGCTGTTTTCAAATCATGGCACATGTCTTCAATGTCTCGTAGATGCTTTCAATTGAATCACCCTTTACTGTTAGAAAGAAACAACTTAAAAGTTGAGGTCGTGAAGTTCTAGCATTAATAATAGTAGGTGATGCATTAGGTTGTAGGTTTCGGCTGCTGCATCGATATCTTTGTCATAAATACCAATGACCATGCGTAAGTATGTGTTGTGGCCTTTTAGCTACTTCTCCATTAATTCGCAAAAGATAGGATCTTTCAAGCGTTTTAAACCCAAAATAGATATAATTATAATCTCTATCATAAATAATAGCAGAATTAAGTTTTTCTAAATTTTTCATAAGATATTATAGGTTGCTTCTGAGATTACTGAAGCACATTTCTAGATTTTGGATTTACATCATTATAAAAGATCATCTATGACAGCTTTCTTGGTCTCTTTATGAAGATTAGAGATTGCAATACGCGCAGCCAAAATGGCATAATCAGGATGCTTTGTAGTCATATATGCTGCTGTCTTCATAGCTAAATTGTCTAATTCAACAGTACTAATGCCTTGATAGATACCAAAAATAACTTTATTAATTAGCCAATAAAATTATACCTGTAAAATTAGTTCTATCGTTATAACAAAAAAACGAAAAACAAATATATTAAACATATATATTTTTCTAAACTCTTTAATTTACTATAATAAAATAAAATGGATCTAAAAATCTATAATTAATTACCTGTATTATAACCAATGTCCATTATGAAAAAAATTCATTCAACCATTTCATATAAAGTTTTAAATTTTTAAACATTTTTATTTCTTATAACTAATTTCTTTATTATATATTATAAATTCTTTACACTATATTCTGAAATATTATATACGTAGCTTAACAAGCATTTTGGTTTTATCTATTCTTAAAAAAGAAGTTTGATTTGTTAGTTTTTTATTATTAAGTTAAATCTATTTAACTATTTAGTAATTATATATAGTTCTATATTTATAATATATGTAGAAATTTTACCTTCTAAGCAAAATACCTGTAGGTTGTAGATCTTTTTGAATTCTTTTTCACTGAAGATAGAGACGGTCTTAATTTTTACTTGTGAAATATATGTTACATTCTTAAAAAGTACTCTGTATAATTGTAAGTAATTGATATTCTTAAACATGGTTATAACAACGTTACATTAAAAAATTTTAGGATCTAGTATTATATCACTTTTTTAATAGTTCACAAATTAAACAGAATTTTTGTAGTCAATTTGAAATTTAAATATTTAATATTAAAAAGTTTCAATGTAACTTTGTTATAAGTATTATGCTAAAATAGTTAAAAAAATTAAAGTGATCGTTCTAGACATTGTGACAGTCCCGAAATCGGTCGGTCAATCGTTCTACAGCAATCAGGTAACTGACTAATAATATTATGATATGAAAGGGAACTCATACAGGGGTCACCAAAATTCTGGTCAGAATACCTAGTAATCATGATCGGTAGAGCCAGAATTAACTAATTTTTTTTGCCCAAAAATCACTAAAAGTTTTACTAATAAAGTCATGGCCCATCATTTAAGTAAAGCTGCCTAGCTGTTAATTTTGGGCTAAAAATGGTTGACTTGTATTGCTAAATGCTGGCCTAAATCTGATGGATCTGACCCAGAAATTTGGTAAAAAATACGAAAGGGGCATGTTAGATTTGGCTAAGTGGTTAATAAATAAATGTATTTTATAGCATATATTATAACTTATGTACTTTATTATTTAGGTTAGCCAGGAACTTTTTTTCCTCTGAAGGGCCAGGATGGCCGTTATTTAATAATTGTAAGAATTATTTACCTATTTTGGGTTCAAAATACTTGAAAGATACTATCTTTTTCAAATTAATGGAAAAGTAGCTGAAAGGCTACAACACATGCTTATGCATGGTCATTGGTATTCATGGTGAAGATATCGATGCAGCAGATAAAACCTACAACCTAAATGCATTACCTACTATTATTAATACTGGAACTCCACAATCTCAACTTTCAAGTTGTTTTCTTTTAACAGTAAAGGGTAATTCAATTGAAGGCATTTATGAGACGTTGAAGACAAGTGCTATGATTCAAAAATGGCTAGTATTGGCTTAAACATTCAGCATTTGGATCAGGAACTAATGGTTAAGTAATGTTGAAGATTAGGGGGTGGTATATATAGTAAAATTACTCATAGTATTTTTTTGTTAGTGTATAAAAGGCAGTTTCTTATAGGAATTTTTAAGAAATAATATTCAAATGGTATCCTATATACTTTGGATTTATGAAACAGGTTGAATCTGATAGTATTCGGAGTCTTTTCGATCTAGCAGAGGGACCTGGACTTATGAATATGTGGGAAGATGAATTTGAGATAAGATCATGATATCTTGTTGTTAGAGGTGAAATTATTATGTATTCTTACTTAATATTATTTAATATTAAGTAAAGTGATAAGTCATAGATCATTATTACTTACAAAATTACTTTGCCCACCCATACTTGTTGCTAATCATAGTGCGAAAGTTATCCTATAGGATGATATCAGAATTCTGATAGTGTCAGGATTCTGATGGTGTTAGGATTCTGATGGTGTCGGGATTCTGATAGTGTCAGAATTCTGATAGTATTAGGATTTTGATAGTGTTGGGATTTTGATCATGCTAGAAATTTGATCATACCAGGAATTTGATCATGTCAGGATTCTGCTGGCATCAGTATCAAGATTTTGATCATGCCAGAGTTTTGATCATGTCAGGATTTTAATTGTGTCAAGATTTTAATTGTGTCAAAATTTTGATTATGTCAGGATTTTGATTATATTAAGATTTTGATTGTGTTGGGATTTTAAATATCAGGATTTTAAATGTTAGGATTTTGATACTGTTAGAATTTTAATTTGTTGAGATTTTGTATTTTGGGATTTTGTTGTTGAGATTTTGAAAGTTGGGATTTTAAATGTTGGGATTCTGATAGGTAACCTGTCCAATGTCCAAGTATTTGATTGTTGATCTACTTAATGTAGGCAGATTTGTCTCTATTCATATTGCCACAAAATTCAATAGCATAACTTTACTATTAATAATTTATTTTAAATAGTAATTCTATTTTATCTTTTTGTTATCACTACTACCGAGACACATTACAATCTTGGCCTTTATTAAGTTAAGCAATATCACTCACACATATTTGATCCAAAATCACATCTATGCAGACTTGGTGATTAATTTCTATAAAAATGAATTAAATAAAAAATATTTAGATTATTGAAGCTTAGACCTTGTTTAATAAAACACAAAATTTTTATACAACAATACTGAAACTATTCTTGTACTCTTTTAAGATCTTTGCTTATACTGTATATGGTTCTGTATTTTTATGTGATCTACTCCTTGGCATTGTTACTAGCATGAATTTGAAATCTAAAAAAATTTCAGATTTAGAAAACTAAAGCCTTGTTGAATATATATAAACCCAAAAATTTTCATACTACAACTCTGAAACTAGTTTTGTATTCTTTAAGATCTTTAATATATACTATACATGAATCTGTATTTACATAGTCTACCTGCTGCTAGCAGGTAGACCATGTAAAAATAAACTCGAATAGTCAGTTTTAAATATGCCAATTTCTTAATAATTATATTAGAACTTTTACTAATGATTTTAATAAGAAAAATACATGGCTAATAATTTAAATTCAGTTTGCTAGTATTGCTTATAACTGTTTTCATATAGTCTAGAATGTCTAGCAAAAATTGACTAGCCAAATATTTGTTAGTTTGATAAGTTTGTGATTTAGTAATGATCACTACTAATATTTGGTCAGTCAATTTTTTTGTCAGATATTCTAGAATTTATGAAAACAGTTGTAATATCAGCCTAGTACTGCTAAAACCCAACCTGAAATTTTGATAATTGGCCTATAAATATGTTACTTTAGTGATTACTTAAGATAGCTATAGTCAATTCTTTCTATAACAAACTGTTGGTTTTGAAAGAAAAAAATATTCATTATAGAAAATTACTATGTTTATTTAAAAAACCATAGCTTTTTCTATATCAAACTATTATTAAATTGTAAAATTTTGAGTTCATTATATCTAGAGTTTGTTATTAAGAGGTCTGCTATATTCAGAGTTAACTATACTTGGTGACTATGAATAAAATCAATTCAATAAAAACTCAAATAAGATAATATAATAAATTTTAAATTAGGGTAATAAATCAATATGAATAAAATAAAAATAAAATAAACAAATGAACCTAAAATAAATTATAAAGAATAAAAACTTGGAAGTGAATATTTTTTATTATGGCAAACTTAGTTTCTAAAAAATTATAATATTACAAAATTATCAAAATACCAATCAATAATATCAATATGTAGTATCATAATTTTTCAGAAGCTAAGTTCATTACAGTAAAAACTTAAATATTCACTTCCAGGTTTTCACTTTTCAGTACTTAAATAAAAGATATTAAGTGGCAAAGATATATGAACCTGAAAATACATCAATTGATTAATAATCATATTGACTTATCAAATCAATGCAAATCAAAATAGTATCTTTAATCAATACAAATGAAATAGATAAATGATCCAAATATAAATAAGTAAATCTAAATTAAACATCAGTTAATATATTTATAAATTAAAATAAATTGATAAATTAGTATAATAATAAGTAAAATGGACCTATACATTAAATATATATAAACATATTAATCATTTTTATACTCATCTATAAAAATTAATAAAATAACTTACAGACAAAGCAAACTGGAACTTGTTATCTTGTGGGCAAATAAACTTCTTATTTTCTTTCACTACTTCTTGGTGGTGATATATTTTTTTGCAAATAAAACAAATTAAGTACTTTTTTTTAAACTTAATAGCAATTCATAATTATTAATACTTATTAGGACAATATTATTTACTTTTTTTTTGGTTTGGCTAGTTTTGCATTTAATAAGCCATAATAAGTAACAAACAAATTTAAATCAACAATAATATATTCTCTTCATCTAACCTATTAGACTAATGTCGAACTATCTTCATAAAACTATTTTTATTTTAACTTCTCTTTTCCTGTATTGTTTTCCAGAAATCATATGTTTGACACCATGCTTGTAACTATATTCTTAGCTAATCTATAGGCTTATAAGAGAATCTGCACTAAGTTTATATGGTGAATATTTATGTCTCTGATATATTTAATTGGTCAATCAAGATATATATATACAGACAATATCCTATATCCACATATCTTTAAGACATAGACATGAATATCTGGTCTGGTCTGTGTTCATATTCGGTCTATGTTTGCATGACAATACTGCCTATATCAGTTATCTGATTTGTTATATATTTTATATATATAGAGTGTTTTGTATATATAAAATTATAATAAAAATATATAGAATTATATATAAACTTTGTTGCGATGATATTTCTTTCTTTATATATTAAATTTAAATTAAATTTTATAAATAATATATCAAAAAGAGAAAAATAAAATGCTTTTGAAACTGAATTAAAATTTTGCAATTTTTAAAATTTAACTTAGCCAAAAGAAAAAATTTAATAGTTTTAAAGTAATAATTATATATAAAATTATACTCTAAATAACTTCAATTAGGAAGTCAAAAAAGATTATCTTAGTAAAAAAAAGTTTTCTATATACTAAAGTCAAAATTTTCAGTTTTTCTATAAAACTTTTTTTGCTTAGATAACATGTTCTGACCTCTTAAGCAAATTTGTTTAGCACACAATTTCACATATTTTATATCTTGTCAATTTTGTTTTTTTTTGAATATATTACTAAGTAAAAGATTAGATCAAAGATTATATAAATTTTTTTTGAAAATTTTTTAAAAAATTTTTTTCATATAATCTTTGATCCAATCTTTCATTTAGTAAAAAGTTCAAAAAATTAAAATCGGCAAAATTTAAAATATAAAAAATTGTGTGCTAAACAAATTTGCTTAAAAAGTCAGAACAGATTATATAAGAAAAAAAGTTTTATATAGAAAAACTAAAAATTTTATTATTTGTATATAGAAAACTTTTTTTATTAAAATAACTTATCTTTACTCTCTAAATAGAATTGTTCAGAATATAATTTTATATATGATTCTTACTTTAAATCTGCTAAATTTTTTTTGACAAAGTTAAATTTTTAAATTGTATCAAATTTGCAAAATTTTAATTTAGTTTAAACCATATTTTTTCATCTTTTTTTGATGTATTTATTTGTAAAATTTAATTTAAAATTAATATATAAGTAAAGAAACTATTAGATTTCAATGTTTATATATAATTTTATATATTTTTGTTATAAGTTTATATATAAAAAAAATTAGATGTGACATATTATATAACTAATATTAAAAATATAAAAACTAGTTTTTTTATTATTTGTAATAATTGATTTTTTATTAATTTTATATTAATAAATTTACAATATTTTAGAAATTATTATTTTTTTTGAAAATATTAGCAGCCTCACTAGTATCGTTATTAGATCAAAATATATATACAAGATATACTCAAACTATCTAAATTACAGATCTGACATCACTTGGCTACTTCTAAAGATGCCCAAGTGCAGTCTGTCTTACTGGTTAAGACTATTGCCCATACTAGAGGGCTATACCAAGCTAGCCTAAGAAACTATTACAAGATAGTTTCAAAACAAAAGAATTTCTCACTAAATTACATTGGAAATTTTCTCTTTCTAGACTATTCTCTTTTTTAAAACAAAGCTCTAAATCTAATTTTCTAATAATAAACAAAATATCTTTCTCTTTCAATATAGGTTATTGCCAAGATTCTTTCAGTTGTGTTTGTATTTCTTTTTCTTTTTTTTTCAATTTAATCTGTCCTTTTCAATTAGAAACCTGGCTCTTTGGAGTTTTCTTATATCCTTTTCTATAATCTTTCTTTTTTGTTTTATAGCTTTGTATTTTCTTCTTCTTCTCAAGAGCTTGTTCTATGAGTTTTTTCCAGAAATATTCTTCTGTATGCTTTCACTTTCTTAGAGTACCTTGGGTCTTCTTTTGGTTTTCTTATTTTTAGATCATAGTTAGTCTGCTCAAATTCTTTTCTTTCATATACTGGGTATAAGAGTTTTCTTTTTTTTTTTGGTCTTTCTTTTCTTCTTTTTTTCCTAAAACTTGGTCTTCTTCCCAGAAATTTTTCTTGTATTTTATTAAAGATCTTTTGATATTCTACAAAAATCTTTTCTAATATTTTTAATAGCATATCTTTTTTCTTTTTCCGATTTTTAATATCCTTCGGCCTAGATGCTAATGTGCTTTGAGACAAGTTCATATCCAAGTTCTATTAGAACTTCAGCCTGTGTATTTATTTTGTAAGTAGAT